GTTTTGACTAGATGACTGCCATGAAAACACTGCTCTCCCCCCCTCCCCCCTTACGTTACTCCTCTCACATGCTTGGCAAACTATGCTATATATATATATATATAATGTTATGCTACGGTATGCTTTTGCTTTTGCTGTTCTAAAGAAAACTTGTATTTGTGCGGTTGTTTGTTTTTTGTAAGTAATTCGAATGCTCTACATATACATATTGTTTGCGATGTGTTCTCTCTTCTTTCTTTCTCCCTTCCTCTAAGCAGTCAGTTAACTTATACATTTCTATTATATTTATCTGTGATTATGTGTACACATGTGTGCAGAAAAGGGTAATATTTTGGGTATTATGCAAAAATTTTCAAGTGTAAGTTAGTCATGCTACTAATTGGACTCGCTTTTTATACTCAATCTACTTTTGTATATATGTGTATGTGCATATATGGGTAAATATAGTTAAATATATGAATGTATTTAAATGCAGTTCTATGAGCATAACTTGATAGTGAATAATAAAAAAAAGTAAAGAGAAGATATTTTTTCTCTTTTTTTTTTTTTTTTTTGCTTCAAAATATTTCGAATCCTTCGAGCCCTTAAATAAAATTTGAAAACAAAAATTATATTTCATATTATCTTCAACGATATTGATTTTGTCCCCTTGCCCGCTATAATAAGAGTAATAGTATTCTCTAGAGATATAATTCGTGGCCAATTAGGAATTGAATGTGTGTGTGTGTGTGTCTTTTTTATGTACCCGTCTAATCTCGGCTAAATTCTATAGATGAGCTTTCTTCAATGGATGACATTTTCAACTGTTTTTCTCGACAATTTATATAAATGTTTTTTTTTTTTTTTAAATTTTTTTTTTTTTTTTTTTTTTTTTATGAAGCAATGATCAGAGTCTGTCAGTCAGTCAGTCCATCTCTTTATTTATGCATATAATTTGAAAGTGAAATTTTCAAGGATGTTGAAAATAAAGGCGTTTTTTTTTACCTTTGAGTTTTAGAAGAACAAGTTAACCAAAAAGAAAAAAAAAAAGAAAAAGGGAAATTTTTTAGCTACCTTAAGGTAAGTGAAATACTTTTATTAAATTAAAAAAAAAAAAAAAAAGAAGAAGAAGACTTTTAGCGTTCACTTGTTTCTATTTGGTTTCGCCTCCAAAAGGGTTGAGAGCATGTTTTTGTGTTTTTGCGACCATTAAAATTTCAACAAAAAAAAAAAAAAAAAATGAAGAAAAAAAAAAAAAAAGAACGCACAAACAAA